CCCCAAAACCCCAAAACCCCAAAACCCCTTGATATTTAGCATTATTGAAATAAATCTCTATTCAGCATTTCTTCTAGCAATGTTAGACTCAATCTTCTTTTTCAGAATTTCAAAGGAGGAAAGGTACTCTATTGAAAGCTGAGATTCTTCTTGTATATCGATGAAAATAGACCCTTGGAGAGATCTTCCCTTCTTTTTAAGATTTGTGCTCTGGTTTACCAGAATTATATCACTTCCTAACAAATTTGAATCAAGAGTTAGCTCTATCTTATCGCTTGCTTTTAGATAGGCAAAGTTGCCAACCTTTTTAAAGATTCCTGAGATAGACTTAGAGTCAACCTATAAATTAAGATCAAGCTTACGTATAGTCCTATGTTTGAGACCTCGTTAAGTTCAAGTGTTGAAGAAGGACATGAGATATGTAAATTCCCATGTGAATTTCCAATATATATTTTATTCACTCCCTCATTCTTGATGTTTAGTGATTTGTCTTTAATTTCCTCAGCAGTCTTGCTCTTATTGGAGGTACTTTCTTGGATCTATGTATCAAAATTTCATAATAAAATACCTGCTCATCTACATCTCCGATGTAATGAGTTGGGCCATAGATAGCTTCAATGGTGATATCACCTTTGGATTGTATCTCTCCATAAGTAGGAACGCCTAACTTTTTATCAATTTTTAAGTTTTTCTTATTCGTGATATACAAGTTATTCGCTTCCAAGGAGGAATTAACAGTCAGGCTATCAGATGTGCAGTGGAATTGGTTCGTTCTCGCCTTTGAAAGATGAACATTCACAGCTTCAATGTCAATTCTAGAGATTACGGGAGTGCTTACTTCTTATGTACAATAAACTTTTTGTCCATTCCTCAGGTCCCTTTGAGATTTCCAAGAGTTTTAATGGTAAATCTAGATGTATCTTGAGGGATCTGTGCTTCGAGTGTAGTATCTGATGTAGCCACTATTCTTTCTTCTGGGTAAGAATCTATTGTTTAAAAATATTGTTACCCTCAGTTTTCTCAGTGGTAATCTCAACTCCTGATCCTTCTGGATATGTATAAACTGTATGGTCAATCCAATCAGTGCTAAAAGAGATATCAGTCTTGGAGCTTGGGCTCTGAATGTGAATACTGGTGTTCTGCCCATTCTCTAATTGGGTTCTAGTAACCTTCGAGGTAAATAACCTGCTTTGATAGCATAACTTTGTTAATAAATTAGGTCTCCGAGTCAACATGCTTGGAGGTGAAAAATCAATAAAATTATGATTTAAAGGGGTTTTGGGGTTTTGGGGTTTTGGGGTTTTGGGG